CAGAGGGCCAATTGGTCAACCTCTTTTACCGGGCTATGCCCGAAGCCTTTCGAGGGCAGTTCTTCGCGAAGAGCGAAGACCCTGCCACCACTTACGATTCCCTTAGTCGTGAGGTGGTGGCTTTTGAAGCGAAGTCAGTGTCCCTGTCCACCTTTTGGCATAAGGATTTGGACAAGGGAAAGCAATGGAAAGGCCGCACTATCTCAGGGCAGGTAAAGACCAAGGATAACCTTGTTCTGACTTTAGATGAGGGTAGTGTGGATGAGATTCCCTATGATCAGATTGAGTGGGGGCTAGAGGAAGCGGACAGCGGTGTGGGCCAGGGGAGGACTTACACTGCTGTCGCGGCTGGAGGGAGGCCGCAAGGAGGAAGAGGCCAGGGCCAAGGGGGCCGGGCCTCAGGGAACCGATTTCAGGGCAATCAGGGGGTTGGCGGCAGAGGAGGAAACCGCCAAGTGGGAGGCAGGGGTCAAGGTCCCCCGCAAAACCGTCTTAGGAATAGGTCTCCCTATAGGGTAGGAGGATGGCACCCAAGGCTACTGCAGGGTAGGCCTTGGGAATCTTTGGGTCTGGACCAGGCTTTATGGCAACAACGATTGGACCGGGGCTAGTGCATTTTCTGCGGTGACCCGGGCCACATTATCAAATATTGTTCTAAGTACAGAGAGACCCGAACGGCTGCCCAAGGGCCAAAAGGCAGCCGCCGGTAGGGGTAGCAACTGCCCCTACCATTAGGTCATGTGGGGAACATAGCGCTAGCCGGCAGGAGACTCCCACACCACATGTGCCTATGCCAGAGGTTGCAGGCCGGTGTCTAGATAGCTGTCCCGAAACTGCTTGTGTTAGAGTTTCGCTAGACACCTCCCTCACAGGCGTGGCCGAAGAATTGAAGGAGAGGATGCCCGCCTGGGCCAAGATGAAGAAGGAGAATAAAGGGCATCTTATATTGCTAGATACAGAAAATTTTAGAAGTAGAGTAGGGGCCCTAGTAGACTTAGGGGCCACCCGTAGCTATATTAGTAAGAAAGCGCTGCAGAAGTTGAAGCTGGGACTTAAAGTCCAAAAATTGACAGACCCCATAGTAAGTATCCTCGCGGACAATCGTACTATGGTCGTAGAGGAGTATGCAGAGGGAGTCCAGGCATATTTCCGCCTAGAGAAGGATGGGAAAGTGGAGAAGGTCCTCCACTCCCTGACTCTCCTCGTAGAAGACAGCCTCCCATTTGATATTGTCTTGGGAATGGATTGGGGAGAGGCAGCCGGGGCAACGCTCCATCTGAAGGAGCACGAGTGTAGGCTCCCTAGTTCCTCAGGCGAGGCTAAGATTGTCCGCCTGTTCCATGTGTCAGGGGTAGAGAATTCCTTGGCGCATTGCTGCCTGAGTGCCCCCGCGTTCGCCAGATTAGTGAAGAAGGAGAAATTGAATGAGCAGGTCTTTGTTGCCTATGTGAGGCCAGTGACTGACCCTACGGAAGAAAAACCGATGGACCCTGCGATTGCCAAGCTGCTGGAAGAGTTCAAGGACCTAACCGAGCCGCCGATAGGAGTGGTACCGCGGCCCATCCAGCACCGTATTGAGATAGAGCCTGGCAGTAGGACTCCTAAGGGCGCTGTATATAGAATGTCCCCACGGGAGTTAGAGGAGCTTCGCAAGCAGTTAGACGAGTTCCTCGAGAAGGGTTGGATTAGGTCCAGTTCGTCCCCTTTCGGAGCGCCTGTTCTCTTTGTTCCTAAGAAAGAGGGAGAGCTGAGAATGTGCATAGACTATAGGGGTCTAAATGCTATTACAGTGAAAAATGTTGAGCCACTGCCGAGGATAGACGATCTCTTAGACCGAGTGTAGGGGGCCAAGTATTTCTCTAAGATAAATTTAAGGTCCGGATATCATCAGATAGAGGTACACCCTGATGATCAGTATAAGACAGTCTTCCGGACTAGGTACGGACATTACGAGTTTATAGTGATGCCCTTTGGACTAACCAATGCGCCAGCTACGTTCCAGCGCTGTATGAACGATTTGTTTAGGTCGTGGTTAGACAGATTTGTTGTAGTTTACCTAGATGACATCCTAGTGTTTAGTCGGACCCTTGAAGAGCATCAGGGTCATCTCAGGCAGGTCTTGGAGAAGTTGAGGGAAGCTAACTTGACAAGATCAATGCAAAAAAGTGCGATTGGGCGAAGACCCAAGTTTTGTCTTTAGGCCACGTCTTAGACGGAGAAGGCGTTAAGCCAGAGGATAGCAAGATCGCAGCGATTAGAGATTGGCCCACACCACGTACGCTGACAGAGTTGCGCTCGTTCCTGGGCTTAGCTTATTACTACAGGAAGTTCGTGAGGAACTTCTCCACCATCGCTGCGCCCCTTCGCAGATTGTTGAGGAAGGAGACCATCTGGAAGTGGGATAAGGACTGCACGTCTGCCATGAAGAAGTTAAAGCAGRCATTAATAGAGTATCCAGTCCTTAAAGTCGCCGATCCGTCCTTGCCTTTTGTCGTTACTACGGATGCTAGCCAGTACGKCATAGGCGCAGTGTTACAGCAAGACGATGGCAATGGCTATAGACCCGTAGAGTTCATGTCCGCCAGGATGCCTTCAGASAAGGTCGYGACATCTACCTACGWGAGGGAACTCTACGCTCTCARGMAAGCGTTAGACCACTGGAAGCAMTACTTGCTTGGGAGRCACTTCAAAGTCTATTCTGACCATGAAACGTTACGATGGTTAAAGACGCAGGCCAAGATGACACCTAAGCTTACTAGGTGGGCYGCAGAGATAGATCAGTACGACTTTGAGCTCAAGCCTGTCAAAGGGAAGTACAACATAGTTGCGGATGCTCTGAGTAGAAGAGCTGATTATTTTGGGGCAATAGTACATTACCTCGATATAGGAAAGGATCTGCAGCAGCAGGTTAGAGAAGCCTACGCGCAGGACCCTATCTATGGTGAGCTCCTTAAGAAAGTCAAGGAGGCCCCAGAGACCGAGCCGAACTACCGCACTACTGAAGGGTTACTCTTCGAGAAGACTAATGTCTTTGACCGGCTTTGCATCCCCAATAGCGAAGAGATCCGTAGTCTAATTCTGGGGGAATGTCACGACACAGAGGGTCATTTCGGTTGGCAAAAGACTTTGGCCAATCTGATGCGCCCGTATACCTGGCCAGGGATGAAGAATGACTGCGTAGAGTATGTTCGCAGTTGTAAGGTCTGCCAGGGTAACAAGAGTTCTACGCGATCCCCGCTAGGTCTTCTCCGACCCTTGCCCATTCCGGATCAGGCGGGAGACTCAGTGTCAATAGATTTCATGGACACTCAAGTCAAGAGCAGGCATGGCAAGAACCAAGTCATGGTCATAGTTGACCGCTTTAGCAAGTACGCAGTTTTTGTTTCTTTGCCTTCTAAGGCGCGTACTGATTTAGTCATAAAGAGGTTCTTTGACTGGTGGGTTAGTGAGAATGGAATCCCGCTGTGTATAGTTAGCGATAGAGATAGTCGCTTTACTAGCCAGAACTGGCAAGAACTCATGGGGGTATACGGATTTAAGTTGTTGATGTCGTCCGGCCGCCATCCAGAGACTAACGGTCAGACAGAGCAAATGAACAAGATCCTGCAGCAAGTTCTGCGCATGTATATTAGGCCAGATCAGATTAACTAGGATGAGATGTTGCCTAAAGTAACTAGTGCATACAATAACAGCGTGCATCTAGCCACCTGCCGCACTTCCAACGAACTGCACAAGTCCTGTAGACCGCGCAGACCGTTTGAGGGACTTAACCGGGATCAGTTTCAGAGATTGCCGCTCGGGACCGGGAGTTTGCTGTACAACACGAAAAAGAACTAGCTACTGTTGTAGAAAACCTCAGGAAAGCCCAGCATAGGATGATAAAACAAGCGAATAAACATCGTCGCCCCTCACAGTTTCAAGTAGGCGACTTAGTCTGGGTTAATTCTAAAGAGTTTACACCTGAGGAGAACATCTCGCAGAAGTTACTGCCCACACATAGAGGACCGTGGCCAGTCTTAGAAGTCAAGGGCAGCGAAGACGGACCGTCCTACACTATAGAACTCCCAGCACACCTCCACACTTACCCAGTTTTCCATGCATCAAAGTTATTACCTTGTCAAACAAGTGATCAGTTTCCATCCCGTAGATCGATGATCCCACCAGATATGGATGGAAGATATGACATTGATGGTATAGTGGTTGAAGATGTCTTCAGAACCGGAGGTAGGGGTCGTCCGCAAAAACAGTACAAGGTTCATTTTAGTTATCAAGAACCGGAAGACGACCGCTGGTTTACTAGATCTGAACTTCTAGAGACAGCTCCCGATATAGTCCGGGCCTATGAGAGACGACAGCGAGGTAAAGGTCCTGCCTTGGATTGAAAATTTCTCGGAGGACCTCGAATCTAGGCCGGCGGGAGTGAAATGGTATTCACCAGTTCGAAGTAGCTGATGCAGATCCCATGGCTCGATCCCTAGTTCCCCAACTTACCTGTGTACAATACCTGTGTCAACTCGAAGAATTGAACTTGCGACCTGTAGAACCGCCAGTGGTAAGTAGGTTTGTCTTAGGTCTATAGGTAGCCAGGATTCGATCTGTAGACCTGTAGTTTAGAAGTCTAGCTGCAGTCCTTCTAGAAGGTAGGCAAGTGGCCAAGTGGTGTGACTAAAGCAAGCCCACGTTGTAGACAGGGACAAGTGGCGAGGTCAAACAGCAGGACCCCAGTGCAACTGCACTGCGTCGTAGGGTCGTCGCCATGCAGTCAAGGGAGAGTCTAGAAAGTACCAGTCCGGTCCAGCRAGTACCACGGGGGGGACTGTGTGCACCATGGGCCARGGATACAGGGCAGACCAACGCAGCGCAGAAGYATAAATCAAGAGGCTGCGTCCAGCCATTCATTCATTCCTGCGGATGCCATGCGGAAGCGCTGCCTCAGCAGCTTGTGCGAGGAGGTCTGCAGTGTGCCCGAAGACRAAGTGGGCAGAGAAGTGTAGTGTAGCGATAGGGTAGTGGCAGYTAGCGCTGCCATAGCCRTAGCCTAGTGTGTKTGTGTTGTGTATGAACATTGAGTGTCGCGTGTGGGACATCCAGGGTGATCTCGAGTGTGAACAGTGAGTTGTATGGGCGCACAGTCGCCATAGCCAGTTGGAAGAGAACTCATATCTGGTTACGATATCTTTGAGTACTGTGTGGGCGCATGTCGCCAGTTCGCTGTATCGCTGTTTGCGAGCATGATGAAGTGTGAATACGTCGAATATGATTGCAAATTTAAGCAGCGGATTTTTGAAGATGATCTGATTTAGGACAGCGTCTTTGGTCAGAGGAGCGTTTCTTCCTGTTGGGAAAACCTTTCTCCAGGCTGTTAAAATATTCTTTCAAAACCTGGACGTAGGTTGTTTGTGGATATACGATCTGATCTGTAAACATGGCAATAAATCTTCCTCCCTGCTAAGGTGTCACTCCTCCTGCAGGATATGAATAGATAATCTTAACCTGGGCGTGTCCCAATCCACCGACAAGACTTTAATGGGGCCATTTGGCTAGCAAGGCGATGTTATGGCGAAGAGGGTCAAAAATCCCAAGGCCTCCCTCATGTTTGGGAAAAGTAATGGTGTCCCAAACAATTTTAGAAATAAACCCCCGTGGGGGAACCCTTCAGGCTTCCACAAGACCTTTGCCGCAACTGTCTCTATACATTTATATGAGTATTCGCCGAGTAAATGTACAACCAAGGTAGAACACAAAACTGCGAAAGCAGCTGAATTGATGACCAAGGCCCTACCTATCAATGACAGACACCGAAGGTTCTGCCAGGACTGCAAACGACTCACAACTTTTTCTTCTAATATAGTATCTTGAAATTTGAAGTTGTCTGATAGGGAAACCTGCACTCTTAAGAACCTGTCAGAAACATTCGTCGGTACACTCTTCAATCTTCAGTTTACTTGCAAAGAGAATGACTCAAGCAAAAAGTAAACAGACTTATTCCAGTGTATGGAAGCCTCGGATAAGTCACAATAGATATTCAATACTTTCCTTACTTGAATCAGATTAGGGTGATAATTGAAGCGTGCCAATGTGAGATCATCAGCTAAAGCTCCCCCTTTCCATTGTAATTGATTCCTGAGAGAGAGGCCTGTAATAGAGTTAGTATATCTCACATTTTCAAGAAAAATCTTCATATGCACCACAAACAACAAGGGGGTCAGTGGACACCCTTGGCGCAGTGAGCGAGTTAGGCGACTTAGAAAGGTTCAGGAGATTTTACGATTAACCATTACCGCTGTTGTCGAGCTTGAATACATCATTGTCACCCAAAGACAAAAAGTAGGGCCGAAATTCATGTTTTTTAGCATCTTAGAGACAAAAGCCCAGCCTACTCCATCATAGGCTTTCTCTATGTCTAATAAGAGTAGTGCCACATTGCGGGTTTCCTTTAAAATGATATCGAAGTCTTGCATCGTGCAGGCTATGTTGTCCACAATAGATTTGTGCTTAACAAAAAATCCTTGATCCTTTCCAATTAGAGATGGAAGGTATCTCGCTAACCTAATTGCCAACACTTTAGCTACCAGTTTTTATGACATATTCAAAACTGAGTTTGGCCGCCAATTCCTTATTTCTGATGTATCTTTTTTTTTAAACATTAGCATGATAATCCTGTTCATCATTCCTTTCGTCAAGGTTTCCCCGGTGAGGACCCCATTAAAGATTTGCAGGAGATAAGGGTTAATGTTTGCCCAAACAACCAGGTAGAGTTCAAATGGGAGGCCATCATCCCCCAGGCATTTGCCCTTCGCCATCTATAGTGCAACATGGTATAGTTCCTCTCCAAAGATTGGTCTTCTAGATCCAGTCTATTAGAAGGCTGCAAGGCTGCTTTTGAATATTGCCAAAAGTCTGAGTTTTCTCTTAGATCTGTGTGAAAGCCCTCATATGGTCTTCTAGTGGATATGATATCTTGAAAGTATAAGCAAGCAAACTCGCACATAACATCTAAGTTGTCTGATACATGAGGGACAACTGAGAAAGGATGTGCCAGTTCAATTATTGGTATTTTCGTGGTCTGTAGGAGTAGGCTAAAAGTGTCCTTACTGATCCTATCCCCTGTAGCAATATTCTTTTGGGCTAACCGTTGTTTCCATTGTTTTTGTTGCTTAATTTTCGTAGATTTCAATTGTCGAAGAGTCTTCAAGTTTTTTCTCACCCTTATCCAATACATATTTGAAATCGGGTGATTACCAAACTCTCTTTCTGCTAAGTGAACTTTTTTGATAAGGTTGTTTTCCTACCTCTTCTTGTGAATTGCCTGTAAGCGCGAGATGTTACTTAGCGAGCACTGAAGGATTCTAAAGCCGACTTCTGTCCATTCTTCAATCGAGTTAAACAATCCTCTAGCTTTTTCCCAAACATTAAGATGACGCTTTATCCAATTAATTACCTCTGGGTCATTTAAATAATGAGTGTTCAACTTGAAGTACGAGGTACCAAATTTCTGCTTCTGAGCAATCTTAAAGTCCCCTATCACGTGGAGGTGGTCCGAAAATCAGGAGAGATCGGTGTTCATTTTGGTGCAGTATTCTCATGGTTTTTCCGTAACGAGAAAACAATCCAAGCGCTTTCTTATCGGGGGGGGGCTACGATCCAAACCACATATAAACTGACTTTTCCGGATTTAATTTTTTGAAAGCATCCACCAGGCCTTGATTGGTCATGAAAGCTCTCAGCATTCGAGTATCTGTCCCACTTACCTCCGCTTTTGGACTGTCTAACCCCGAATTGAGAATACAGTTCCAATCTGCACCAATTATCAAATTCAGCGAATTTGGCAAAAACTTGATAGTTCCGATATGTCTACCCCGACTTGATAGTTCCGTCATGAAATCTCTCAGCATTCAGCGAAATTGAGACATAATAGACCAATCCTTAGAACTAAGGGAAAACTTCACCCAAACCCACCTGCCCCACAAGTCTGCCATGTGGTCAAGTATTTGGGCGTCAAGATTTTTGTGAAACAAAATCCCGACTCCCCCCCTGGTGCCCAATTCTCCATTTCCAAAAGACGGAACTCGTCCAGTTTTGATTCTTGAACACAAACAATTTGTGCTCTATTCTTATGAATCCAAAACTTCAATTTGCTTCTCTTGTGTTTCTTGCCTGTATCACACAGGCCTCTAAGATTCCATGAAACGATTGTCAGATTACCATTAATTGGCATCCGTCAAGGCGATACCAGCATTGCCATGGATCAGATCGATCTGCTTTCTTCTGCGGGCACCCTCTTGGTTTGAAGGGACACCAGACCCTTCGAGCCAGGGGGCACGAAGAATAAAAAATAATCCCATGATGCACCTCTGCATCATTTAGCCATTCTGCAATAATTTTGGTTGCATGACCTTTTACGAAAATATGTTCCAAGTCCTCATTTAGATCTGAATCCAGCAGATAAAGAGAAGACTAGTCCCAATCCAGAATTTTCAGTTCGTCTTTGATAGCATTGCTAATTTTTGCATCCAAGAAGACAAAGTAAAAACGAATCCTCTGGCCGGAATTGGTGGAGATTGTGTGACACTCTATTCTCAGACATTGAATGAGTTTGACTTTCAGACACTGTAACAAGATTACAAAAGGCAATTTTCAGTGGTCGGACAACTGATTTTTTTCGGGCATACACAAAACTAACTCTAAGGAGGAAATGACTGGCTGTATGTAGCTCAAAACACGGGTGTCATTCTGATGAAAATAATATGGGATAATAGAAACACTCAATTGTTTAGATCTACTGAGATTTCAGACAAACATACTAGTAAGGGCTTGATAGCTCTACAAATCAGATTGGTCAGCAGAAGTGATTGCATCAGGCGCAAGGTTCCAGGCACACAAAAGTCCAAGATTTG